TTACTCTTAATTATCTCGATCTTTAACTTCTAACAATATACTTGTTTTTAAAAACATCATACTCCTCTTTCATATTCTCATCGTTCTCATTCAGAACGTTCGGATTTGAAATAGATTCTTTGTCCATTGTATCCTCCATTGCTCCTCTATCCATTCCTCCGGCACCGCCTTTCAGAATTTCTTCATCATCTTTGTTTAACTCTTCCAGATTAGCATCATTTGTTTCGTTCTAAAAACAAGCAGATAACAAATAAAACTCGAAAAATGTATGAATAACCATTTCCAGAACAAATATAAAGCAAAAAAGTTCATCCATATATTGGAACTCGAAGTTTCAGATGTTTTGGAATAAAATCCAAGTTCGAAAACTGAAAAATCATAATCAACAGTTTGAAAAGAATGAAAAAAAACACACTTACCATTCCAATAATTTCAGGAAAGGTAACATGAACGATTTACAGAGGTGCTATAACTTAACTGCGCTTTTTAAACATTGTTTAACGATCCACGCATGTCTTAAATATTTAAAATATCATAATAAATGAATACCAGGGAATCTCCTTGCATCTCCTTTTCATCTTTTTCAGTCACTTCTGTTATCGCTTCCTCACCAACATCATCATTCGATTGATTGTCATCCTCATCTAGTTTCTCGTTCATAACATGTTCCATATCGTCCTCTGACTTGTTTTCATTATCATTACCATCATTTCGATGTTCTTCAGTTTGTCCGGGATCCTCATTGTCCACATCATTGTCCAGTGATTCACGCTCATCCACATTCTCCATATCAGCATCATCAGCAGTATTATCATCTTTACTATTTTTGTCATCATCACCATCAAACATATCTTTATCATTTTTGTCATTTTTAAAATTCTGTTCATCGTTATCCGCCGCCATATTATCTGTTTTTCATTTGCACCTGGAACAGAACATCGTAAAGTAGGTAAATGCAATGAAACCAACAATATATGATTATTGACCGCTGCATCGTTAAAATGTTGGTTATTCAATCACCAGCTATCATCTGAGACGACCCATTTCATCCCTCTTCACCTTT